CTACATAAGAAATTTTAGAAATGGATTGCAGACTACCTAAGTCACGGTGCGCCTTAACCAAAGTTAAATAAAATGCTCTTACACCTAGAAAATTAGAAGAGATTCTGAATTTACAATGTTCCTAGATAATAAAAATCGAAAAATTAAAATAATCTGTGGAGAGATTTTTAAAAAAATCCACTTTGAACATTTTTGCTCATGAAGTACGATATTTCAAAAATGTTAGCATCATTTTATACTTATAAATAGAATAAAATATAATATATTTGTATTAAATATTCATAATAACCGTTTATAATAAATTTTATAATTATTAGAAGTTTTTTAATTGTTAATTATAGTCGATGAACCACTATTTAAAAAACAAGAATAATAAAAACTTAAATCGACTTCAGCGACACAAGCACTGTGACTTTAAAAATGGCAGTTTCCATTCGTGTGTGTACACGAAGTAGAAAAGCAATTGAACCAGGATAAAAATCAAAGCTTAATATCACAGCTCATTCTGTCGACGATTATTTTGATTTTAAGGAATTTCCTTTCGTTTCTATAAAAGGCAATGAAGTCTTGGATGCTCCTGCGCCTGGAGTTAACTGCAAAGATGTTCCTGCTTTTGTTCAGTATGTGAAAAATAAACGAGATGTCGAGATGTACTGGATGTTCACTTAAAAATGGGTATTGACGGAGGAGGTGGATTTTTAAAAATATGTCTTTCTGTACAATCAAATGAGTTGGGCTTCGAGTGCAGCGGTAAGCGTGCTAAGTATGATGAGGGGATAGCTGCAAGAAAATTTAGGGATTCTGGAGTTAAACGACTATTCATTCTAGCAGCCGTTCCGAGTGCACAAGAAAATTATAAGAATGTAGATCAACTCATTTCAACGTTGAATATAAGTCCTTTCCACGGCACAATTGCAACCGATTTGAAGTTAGCGAATATCTTAGCAGGTATAATGTCGCACAGCAGCGCATACCCATGCACTTATTGTTATGCCAAGAAAGATGAGCTAAGCAGCTGTGGCGAATTGAGATCCCCCGAAAATGTTTCATCGTATTATACAAGTTGGCTGACTGAAGGAAAAGGTTCAAAAAACAAAGCGAAAGATTATTTCAATTGCATTCATCCACCGCTAATTGCAACTGTTGGAGGCAAAACATTCCTAGACATTATTCCACCTCCAGAATTACACCTTATGCTTGGTGTTGTTAACACTGTTTTCACGCATATGTTGAAAGAGTGTGAAAATGAATCGCTGACATGGACAAAAGCTTGTCACGTTCAGCGTGAAATCAGACGAGGATGTTCTGGGTTTAAGGGAAATGCATGCAAAACACTTTTGGATAAAGAAGAACTTCTGCGCCAGTTTAAAAATCTAGAAATACTGAAGTATGTTAAAGTATTTGACGACTTCAAAAAAGTGGTTTCTGCATGCTTCGGAAATAATCTTGACCAAAATTACAAAGCATGTATAGAAGCTTTCAAAAAGAGCTACATGGACTTAGGTGTCAGCGTTACACCAAAGGTTCATGCAGTTTTTTTTCACATTGAACAGTTCTGTGACAAAAACGGTAAAGGATTAGCATTTTTTGGGGAGCAGGCGATGGAGTCCGTACATTTTGATTTCTTAAAGTCTTCCTGGGAAATGAATAAGGTTGCTGCAAATCATCCGGATTATCCTAAACACCTTTCGAGCGCTGTTTGTAGATATAATGCTTCATATGTTTAAATTGATGCAATTATAATTAAACTATGTTACATTTTCATATTTTATCAACAGTAAAATGCTTAAATAATAAAAGTTTAATTACAACTGAAAAATCATTATTATATCATTTTTTTCCTTTCTATTGATATAAAACAACGCCAGATTCTCCAAAATATCATACTTCGTGCGCAAAAATGTTCAAAGTGGATTTTTTTAAAAATCTCTCCACAGATTATTTTGATCTTTTGATTTTTATTATCAGTTAACATTGTAAATTCAGAATCTCTTCTAATTTTCCAGGTGTAAGGGCATTTTATTTAACTTTGGTTAAGGCGCACCGTGAAGTAGTTTTAGAAATGGATAACTTTTTTTGGCACTTTAACGGATTACCCTAGTTAATCTCCACGTTAGTTACACAAGCTGTAGAATAATAAATTTTTATATTTTAGCGGTAATATGCATATTCTATACAGGCAAAATACAGATTTGAGTCAAATGTTTGATACTTTTACCGGCAAAAATTCTTTTATTCATATTAAGTTTCGTTCGTTATAGTTAATCTTATTTTATAACCGTCGTTGAAAAGCCAACCCAAGTTTGAGTTTATGACTATCGATGTTCAACCCAACCCAGAAGGCAAAGTAACTCCTAGATCAAAAATTTGGAGAAACTATCCTGCATGGAGAATTTTTGATGGATTTAAACAGCATTTGCATTACACGAAAAAAAAAAAAAACACTTAAACCTCCCACAATTAGCCTGACGGCAAAGAGATTCTAACTCATGATTCTTCTACCACTGAGGATATTTCATGTTAGCAATGTGTTTGGCACGAGACGGGAGCAGAATTCGTATCATTCAGCCACAGCCGGGTTTCAAATCTGGATCACCTTATTGGAAGCGAACGCTCTATTCCCTGAGCCACAACGACTCATGCTTAATTAATTAATATTTCTCGAGAAACTTTATAAGTACTATTTCATTTATTTATTTTCTCTTTTTTTCCAACTTAAAATTTATTTAAGCTCTTTGTCGCCTACAGCTATCTTTAGGTTAAAAGAGCTCACAAAAATTTAAAATTATGTATATTTTTCATTATTTGGGCTTTGATTCGAATTGTCGATTTTTAATGTAATATATTCATTCCTAGGGCTAAAAAAAAGTATAAAAGAAGAAATATAAGAAAGATGATATAGACAAGGAAAACTGAAAGCATTTATTGTTAATTCAGCAATCGATGATAAATAGCTTTACTGATTACAATATTAATTATACATAAGACACACAACAAAGCTATGTAATTTTATACAGTTTAAAACAAGCATTAACTATCACTTTCAATTATATATTTTGCAAATGAAAATTTTCTCACATAAATACCATATAATACTGATTTAACCCCATGTTCTCCTACTTTTAAAAATATGTTCTTTAAGATGAAATACATTTAAAATTTATTATTTAATTATTTTAACTTCTCCCGCACTAAGTGCTTACACGTTATATGTTAATGTTAAAATTTTCCTAATGAAATATTATAATAAATGATAATAATAAAAAATATAAATGTTGTTAATTTAATATCCTTCACAACAATTTGAAAAAAAATCTTCTTAAATTTTAGGTATGTTAATATTTTCATTAAAAAAAATTATGTTGAGCATTATTATGTTAAATGCTAAATTTTTAATGACATGAATTTATTAATACTTTTTATTAGTTAAGGAATTTTTTCAAATCAAAACACTATTATCCTATAATAATTAAATATTACACACACTGTTGGGGTCTAAAAATGTAAGAAATAAAGTCTGAATGCAATATAAAGAAATTACATAAATAAAGATGAAATACAAATGACAAATCATAACACACACATGTATAATGCGATAGGTAATCCTAAATTGTTTCTGTTAGATTACTAACTAGTTTTTGCACACTAAGTAGAGACGCTATTTTTTTGCATATCAATGAATAGTTCCAATAAACTGGATGAATAATTTTACAGAAAATAAAATTTTTATCTTTATGTTGTTTCAACAAGTTTAGTTTTAGTATGAATATTTCTTTATTATTATAAATTATTTGCAATGATGTACAATATTCAACTTCACATGTAAAAAATATGAAATAATTTTTAAGTTATATACTCCAATTTTTTAATTTTATAGAGAAAAAAGTATATGATTTAAACTATGCAAAATTATGAAACCAAAGTGTCTTAAAGTATAAAATCAAACAAATAATATGTGAAAGGCTTGCGGCCCTTCACTTACTATTAATTTATATTATTATTGTTATCAGAATAATATGAACATTTGTTTATGTAACAATAAACCACATTCTAACTTATTTTAAAGTTTCTGGCCGTTAAAAGAAGAAAAAAATTCAAATAAATAATTACATTTTCTTGTCCTTTGCAATGAAAGTTTAGTTTAAAATTGCATTTATAAGGTTTATTTTGCTTATCTTAAAGCAATTTTAGAGCAATCATGTTTTAAATTTGGTCTATCATATATATAAAGTCTATATTTTTCGAAAAATTTTTTTTTTGTTAAATTGTTTTAATTTTTTTTAAAGAAAACTCCAGTTGGTTTACTCATTTAAATAACAACAATACTTAAACTTTATGAACCACATTGAGACAGGCCTATGAAATACAAATAGCTAAATATGTACACCATCTTGAGAATAACCTATGAATAACAAATAGCTAAATATATACACCATCTTGAGAAATATATATGAAATACAAATAGTTAAACAGACAATATCACAGTCATAAATAGATTCTTTGAAGAGCGGTGGGTTGAAATATCTTATATTTCAATTCTTCATGGAATTCGAATTTCATCTTTGAAAAAAATATCGTTTGCTACTGATTTTGAAAGATATCGTTTGATAGAATTCAAAACCAAATTAGTAATACCGTTATTATAGTGTTTCATGACCAATTATCTTTATTTTATTGTACTTATTAAGATTCTTTCCAGTTTTATCTAATATCCTCCTGAGATAAATGATAATTTTCTTAAAGATATACTCAAAAATTAGTATTGCATTTAGAGATCGGGACAATAGGCCATTTTGGTTTATTGTCGCGTACATAATTAAAAAGTAACCATTGTGAATATTCCTTTTGTAAGCAAATTTGATCTTATAATGCACAAATAATGTGTAAAATTTTAAGATTAGTTGCATAATAATTTGATTATATAAATGAAAAATAAGACAAAAAATGCTTAATAATTTGTTAAAACTGAAATTAAATAATTAAAAAAAAAAAGAAAATATTGCATTTAAAATTAAAATAAACTTATTTTAAAGAGTGTTTTTCTTATTTTAAAGAAAAATTTGATTCTTTTCTGACTATAATTGACTAAACAAAGTAGTTCTGGGAAAAATGAAACTAATGTTCTTTTCCTTTAAAAACTGCAATTATTATTTTAAATTAGTATAAAGTAACAGAAGGATAATGATTTATTACAATAATTCGAAAAATCGATGGTTTTTGTCATTAAATCTTACTGATCATGGAAATAATACTGATAATAAGAGCATTAGCGACAAGCACAATGTGTTACAGTCATATTAGGTAGATTAGTAATAATTTTTATCCCTGATTCAGCGATATAGATAATGGGCAATGCTTTAAACTCTTTTGGACTACAGTGGATGCTATTTTTAATTTCATCAGGTATTTTTATCTTGCCTTTGGACAGCAGGGTGATCATGATCGAAGAATGGTTGTTTTCCGCCATGTCCATTCGATTTTCACACGATCCTTTGCAAATGTTTGCTTTATATCCACTTGGCTCAATAATCCAGCTATCCCATCCAATGTCTTTGAAGGATATGTGGTAATCTTTCAAGCAGCAATGTGTTGCTCCGTCTTCGCAGAGATTTGGCGATCGTTTGTTTCGTTGTGGCGTTTTGCTATTTTTTACTATTAAAACAGGATTTTTGTCTTTTCCTGTCTCTATTGGAAGAGCTAGTGCTGAAACTTCAAGGTCTAGAACGTCCGAATTTAAAAGTACTGTAGCATCTAATCTTATCCATTTTGCCAATTTTGATAAATCGGTGACTTTAAATTTCTCTCTGATTGTTGAATCCTTATTTAATTGGCTTATCGTAAATTGTCGGATGCCTTCTCTTTTGTACAGCCATATTTCAGCCGTTTTACCAACAATTTTCACGCCTTTCAAATCTATTTGGAATCTGATGCAACGGACAACGTTTTGGTCAAAGCACGTGTTTGGAACTGGAATCAAAAAATGAAAAAAAGTTTGTTAGAAGCTTGTAAATTGAGAGAAAAGTACGTCGTCGTTTAAATGAAAATACCAGCGAACCTTTTTTTCGGGAGAGGGTAAACTGATATTTTAATTCATTAAATATTCTACTGAAAATAAAATAAGAAATCCTCAGATTTAAGAACTTTATTTCTGATGTGCGCAAATAAAATCATGAATAATAGTATCTATTTTCTAAGAGGTGTTTAAGGTTTCCTTAATCATGAAAAAAAGTGTAAAAGCCAGTTTAATATTTAAACGACGATGGAAATATTTTGCAAATTATTTAACACTAGGTTGCCAAAAGGAAGTCATTCTGACTGCTTTTTAACTGCTTTTTCATTTGCAAAAAATACACAAATAATAATGCATAAATTAATATTTTCTTTTCAAGTGAAGTAAATTTTTTATTGTTAATATTTATTAATAATTTGTTATAAACTGTAAATAATATAAAAAATATTAAAAATTAATTTTAAACAAATTTCTTTACACATTAGTTATTCTTTCACAATGCAGTCATTTTGACTGCTTTTGGGCAATAGAGGTATTTCAGTCTTTCTAGTGTTAAAGACCAAAAAGTGACAAAACACATTTTCGATGCTTTTATAATTACTCAGTTTTTCCAGAAATGCGCTAAAATTTTTTAATTTAACTGCGAATCAAGAAGTTTTCACCTGGGTTTCGTAAAATTTAGAAGATTTTCAGTAGAGCGTCGATTTTCAGAACGCTGATTTACCGGATTGTCTAATTGTCCGGATCGTTCAAGGACTGTGTTTTCCCCACCTTCTTCTTCTTTTATTTATTTATTTTCCTTTTTTAATATCAGAAAGGGGAGGAAAAACGGCTTCTTTTGTCCCAAGTTTCAAGATGGGTCGAATGTAGTTCCTTATAAAATTTTTAAAAAAATAAAGCTTTTAAACGCGCCATTTGTAATATGCTACAATAGGCACTACCACAATTGCCAAACCTAAGTTACTTAAAAACATTCTCATAGCCGTTTCTTAAAGTTTTCCAATTATCCGGATAGGGTTAGGTCCCGATTGGTCCGGATGATCGGTGCTCTAATAATTTCGTTATAATTCAAGTGATCCATGAAATTACATATTATTTGATTAATCAAGTTAATAGTAAGTATTTATTATTACAAATTTATTGTAGTAGTAGCTTAAGTTCTTCCAAAAATAATTTAATTAATATTATGGAGACTAGGACAGTATGAAGACCGAGTAAGAAAATGATACGGTAATGCTACCGCTGCATGGCACATCGGCCAGAATGTCCTAAATGAATATGATATATTTGATTATTATGAATTGTATAACTGCATTCTTAAATTAATAAACTATCCTATAAATACCATTCAGAAATAAAAAAATTTGTATTTCAACACCTCAGTTAAAATTTTGGATATTTTAAAAGCTTAATTATTTCAATCATTTTACAACTAACCCTTTGACGCATAAATTTTATAAAGCATATTTTGCATGCTTTTTTCATTCTTTTGTATTAGGTCAAACTAAATGAAAAATATTATATTTTGCATTTTAAAATAATCATGGGTTTGAAATACAGCAGGAAATAACGGCGCTTTTTTTCTGTGTAAAAACTCAAATCTTTTTCGGCACATTTACAAACAATAATTTTTTAAATTTGTACTTATTTAAGTCTATGAGAAACAGTTATTTATCATTGAAATTTATTGACTTTGCAGAAATCAATTGTTGATAAATATTTGAATATTGATGAAAAAAAAATTGAAACTACTTCTTTTGTATTTTATATTTCAGCACAAATATAATTCCGATAATCTCACATATTTTTAAGTAACTATTAGACTGTTTTTTATTACTTAAAATATATTTTTGCTTGCAACTAGGATAAAGCTATATATATATATAAACTACAAAAAAGACAAAATGAAACGAGAGAAAAGCGAAGAAATTAAGAAAATTAATGTATGTAGGCAAGGAACATCGGCATCCCATTTGCGTCAAAGGATTAAAAAAATGAAATTAAAATTTTAAAACAAATTCAGATGAAAGTTTTAACTCACCAAGTTCTGATAAGAAGAACTCACTCATCCCATTTTCACTGGTTTTAGATGCAGTCTTGCTTTTGATAAAACCAGACCACGAATTATTTTGTGGAATAAAATGCAGAAGTGGAGGAATGGGTTGAAAAGTTCTCGGTGGTTCTGTCATATTGAGACCTTTCAAAATTCGTGTTTTTACTTTCTCGACAACGGTATTATCGACAGAATTTTCTTCCAAAAACAGCTCTTCTTGCTTACTCATGTAAAACAAGTCCCTGATTTCATTTTCATCAGGTTCTATTGTTCGAGGGGCAAACGGAGACATATTCACGCTTCCAAAAATAAACACGAAAGAAACAATCAGGATCTTGAAAGCCATCATCTCCGTTCGATTTTAGAATCCGATGAAATGGAATATTAAAGAAGTGTAAATTGCGGAGTATATTTAGCGATAATTTAAGTAGTTTGATTAGATCTAAGATCTTTCCTTGATGAGGTATTGATTTACGCTTTTATATAGATCCTCGTCATTTGCTTTGAGATCTTATCAGCAGCTTGATGAAATAATTTTGACACAAATTGCTTCTCTTAACACTTTCTCCCATGTATAACATTACAGTCATCAAGTTAAACGCCCTCACGTGTACTGATTGAAAGGTGACAATTCCTCTTTGAGAAATCAAACACTTTCTTTGTATCCTTATTTACGATTTTTTTTGTAGAATTCTCTAAAAATATGCATTTTACATATTTTATTTACATTTGTTTGTGTAAATAAACGTCTGCTGCATTGAATTGTTTATGAAATATCCTGTTCTGTTATTGTTATGTCGTCTGTGGCGACAGATTCCGGCTGGATGGGTAAAAGATAGTTACGTCGAATGCAGCACTAAACGTGTGCTTACTATTGTTGGGTAAAGCCTAGTCACGCGTAAGAGACCTCGTGTTTGGTAAGAAAAACAATTCGCTCACAAGTGTAATCACTTTCTCTGAAAATTTTTTTTGCTGCATTGACTTTTTAAGACACAAGTTTAGCAGTTTTGAGAAAACTCACGTTTTTTAAATGTTAACAATCCTTTATTTTTTAAAAAAATATTTACAATATCGTTGTTTGATTTTTTTATATATTTATCTTTATTCTTTTGCAAAATATTACAAGATTTTTTTCTCTCTTTAAACGGGAATTAAATTTCAAATGGAAGGATTATTTCCAATTTTCAAAATTGACTTAAGTTATGGTTATAAAATTTCATTTTAATTTTCATTTAATAAATTTAATTGCTAAACAAGCGTATCAAAATTAATTGAAAATTCGACAGTGTTTTGAATTAAAACATTTAAATTTGAACAATCTGCATTTATTGGACTTTCCTAATGTTTTGAAATGTATAATGATTCCAATTGTGTTTTAATTTTGAGGAAAGACTTCTTCGTTCAATTTACTCACAAGTTTAATCACTTTCTGTGAATTATTATTACTATTATTATTATTTTTGCTGTTGCTACATTGACTTTTTAAGACACAAGTTTAGCAGTTTTGGGAAAACTCCTGTTTTTAAAATCTCAACAATTCTTTACTTTTTTAAAAAGAATTTTGACAAAATCTTTGTTTGATTTTCTTTATAGGCTTATCTTCAATCTTTCCCGAAATACTACGAAACTGTTTTTCTCTCTTTAAGCGAGAATTAAATTTCCTATGGAAGAATTATTTTCAATTTTTCCAATCGACTCAAGTTATGGTTATGAAATTTCATTTTGATTTTCATTTAACAATTTTAATTGCTAAACATACATATCAAAATTAATTAGAAATTCGACAGTATTTTTAAATAAAACATTTGAATTTAAGCACGATGCATTTATGGACTTACCTAATATTTTTAAAAGTATTATGCTTTCCAAACTGTTTTAATTTTTCGAAAAGTCTTCTTTGTGGGGTTTAGTGAAAAGGAATAAAATATTTTTTTTAATTGGAATAAATCTTTTGTTTCTGTATCGCACTTAAAATTTTGAAATTTTAGTGAAAAATTACGCTTTTTTCTCCGCGAAAGAGAAATTTTTGGATATTGCTTGAAAAATTTAACACATTTTATAAGATAAAAAAGAATAAATTCCTATTTCACTGCCACTTGTATAATGCTACTAGTTAGCAGCTATGGATCTAGAAATAAATTAAGATCGCTACCTTTCTTAATTTTATGGTTATAAGCATTAGACGTATTTCGTAATCATATAGCTGCCGATTATTAAGTTCTTAGGGACGAATAGTGTAACAACGTTAGCGCAGACAAATTAATGAATTTTTATGCAATTTTTTGTTGATGTTGCGTAAACGCAAATCTTTCCAACGATTTCATGTATATTTTTTGAAAATAAATGTAAGAAATTCGAAATTAAACAACTTTTGTAGATGTTGCGTAAACGCAAATCTTTCCAACGATTTCATGTATATATTTGAAAATAAATGTAAGAAATTCAAAATTAAACAACTTTTGTTGATGTTGCGTAAACGCAAATCTTTCCAGCGATTTCATGTATATATTTTTTGAAAATAAATGTAAGAAATTTGAAATTAAACAACTTTTGTTGATGTTGCGTAAACGTAAATCTTTCCAACGATTTCATGTATATTTTTTGAAAATAAATGTAAGAAATTCGAAATTAAACAACTTTTGCAGATGTTGCGTAAACGGAAATCTTTCCAACGATTTCATGTATATTTTTTGAAAATAAATGTAAGAAATTCGAAATTAAACAACTTTTGCAGATGTTGCGTAAACGCAAATCTTTCCAACAATTTCATGCATATTTTTTGAAAATAAATGTAAGAAATTCGAAATTAAACAACTTTTTTTGATGTTGCGTAAACGTAAATCTTTCCAACGATTTTATGTATATTTTTTGAAAATAAATATAAGAAATTCGAAATTAAACTAAATTTACAATTCATAGTGTTGGCTAACCCTTCAGTTCTCAGAAATACAGATCAAAGTATATATATTTATTCAACAAATATATTTCTGAAATTATGATTGCATTAGTTTTTAAAAAAGGCAATCATTAAATTACCAGTTTTTATTTTTTTTTTCGTAATAAAAAGTTCATTTGAAAATGTTTAAAATAATAAAGATAATTTTGTGAAGTTTAAAAGTGCTTTCAAATTATTCATATCCAGCTCACAATAATAGATATAATAAATAATTTAATAATTTCTCTCTATTTTAAAAAATCGTGAATGCTGTTGCTGTTGTTGCGGGTTTTCAATTTCAGGGTATACTTTTGGTTTGCTGTGGAGAAACTGTGAGACTTCGAAATTTGAAATCAGGAAGATATGTAGAAAAATTCACTGAGAGTACGATGAAACAAAACTGACATTCAATAAACCATTTCCAGAACTGTTAACATGAAATTAAAAAAATACCACGCATGCCGCTCATTAAGCCATGGAAATTTAAATACAGAATTGAAATTTGACGTGCTGAGAGGAATATTTTTAATTCGCGATCGCAACGATCGAGTACGCCGTCTAGCGGGAGCCTGTAAATATCAGACATTAATTTATCACGTTTTCATTTAGTTCCATCAAAATCATTGACTGAATCAGACCCCATTTTTTAGCAGCAAATAAGAAACAAAATTTCCCTAAGGAAAAGGCCGAAGAACTTGAAAAAAATCTCCAGAATATTAGTAAATCTTTCAGGAACAGAACACGCCAAACATTTGAAGAAAAATTCCTCAATAATTTTTAATTTCTATTATCAACAAACTTGCAACTGATGACTTCCGATTTCGGATACTGTTACAGATGTGTGTATTAAGGTAAAATGCATTTCTTCTGTCT